TGCAAGCCGACATTTCTGGGGAGCCCACCCTGCAGTCGGGGCTGATATGTAGGGCGACCCTGCCAAATCAAGGGCACCCTTGTGTCTTGTGTTTGGCGACCCACGACCAGAGCATTTCTCATGGCGCCCGCATCGCAGAGTGGATTTCGTTCGGAAACGATGGGATGGGCCTGGAGTGTACGACGGAGAATGTCGTTCTGGATTTCGAGGTGAATTTTGTGCGGATTTTTTCGGGGCCAGGAGTGAAGACTGAAAATTGGCCTGACGAAGGACCCAACCATATGCTGCTGCGAGTGCCGCGAGGGAGAGGGGGGGCAGCAAAAAGGACTGCGGCGTGCATGGGGGGAAGAAAAGCTGACGCGGGCGAGCGGGGAGTCTTCTTGGTTTCGCCCGAGCCCCGTGCGCGGCCCGTGCCATGCGGACGCTCCCACTGGGGCCTTTGGCGGAGCTCCCTTTGGGGCCACGAGCCGTGTGAGGGGTGCGCCGAAATGGGGCGGCGGTGCCTTGCGGACGCTTCCGCTGGGGCCCTCGGTGGAGCTCCCTCTGGGGGCCACGAGCCGTGTGAGGGGTTCGCCGAAATGGGGCGGCGGTGCCATGCGGACTCTCCCGCTGGGGCCTTCGGTGGATCTCCCGAACCGTGTGATGGGTGTGCCGCGGCGGTGCCATCCGGACGCTCCCGCTGGGGCCTTCGGTGGAGCTCCCGAACCATGTGATGGGTGTGCCGAAATGGGGCGGCGGTGCCATGCGGACGCTCCCGCTGAGGCCTTCGGTGGAGCCCCCTCTGGGGGCCACGAACCGTGTGAGGGGTGTGCCGAAATGGGGCGGCGGTGCCATGCGGACGCTCCCGCTGGGGCCTTCGGTGGAGCCACTTCTGGGGGCCACGAACCGTGTGAGGTGTGTGCCGAAATGAGGCGGCGGTGCCATGCGGACGCTCCCGCTGGGGCTTTCGGTGGAGCCCCCTCTGGGGACCATGAACCGTGTGAGGCGCGTGCCAAAATGGGGCGTCGGTGCCATGCGGACGCTCCCGCTGGGGCCTTCGGTGGAGCTCCCTATGGGGGCCACGAACCGTGTGAGGTGTGTGCCGAAATGGGGCGGCGGTGCCTTGCGGACGCTCTTGCCAGGGCCTTCGGTGGAGCTCCCTATGGGGCCACGAACAGTGTGAGGGGTGCGCCGAAATGGGGTGCCATGCGGACGCTACCACTGTGGCCTTAGGTGGAGCTCCCTATGGGGGCCACGAGCCGTTTGAGGGGTGCGCCGAAATGGGGCGGCGGTGCCATGCGGACGCTCCCGCTGGGGCCTTCGGTGGAGCTCCCATGGGGGCCATGAACCGTGTGATGGTCTGCCGAAATGGGGCAGCGGTGCCATGCGGACGCTACCGCTGTGGCCTTCGGTGGAGCTCCATATGGGGGCCACGAACCGTGTGATGGGTGTGCCGAAATGGGGCGTTGGTGCCATGCGGACGCTTTTGCCAGGGCCTTCGGTGGAGTTCCTTATGGGTGCCAAAATGGGACGGCGGTGCCATGCGGACGCTCCCGCTGGGGCCTTCGGTGGAGCTCCCTAGCCACGAACCGTGCGAGGGGTGTGCCGAAATGGGGCTGCGGCGCCGCCAGCAACCGCTGCCACTTTGGCCTTCGGTGGAGCTCCCTGTGGGCGTCACGAACCGTGTGAGGGGCGCGGCGCTGACGATGGCGATGGTGATGATTATGATGATGTGGATCATGCCGATGGCGATGCTGATGACGATGATGACGATGACGATGACGAGGCGGATGGGAGGAGGGAGGAGGAGGGAGGGGGCAGCGGGAGGAGGAGGTGAGACGGTGGGCGCTGTCTCTTCAAAACGAGGACCCAACACCACAGGATGGTCGGGACAAATCCACGCGAAACTCACTTCGTTTTTCACTCGCCGTTTCGGGGTTTTGCATAGACAGAAATCCACGCACAAATCCGCTGCAGCACGTCTGCAAGGGTGGCGCGCCGACATTTCTGGGGAGCCCTCGCTGCAGTCGGGGCTGACTTGTAGGTCGACCCTGCCAAATCAAGGACACCCTTGTGTCCTGTGTGTTGGCGACCCGGGCCCTTCTGCATGATCTTCCCGCGGCGAGAGCACGTCTGGGGAGCCCTTCCTGCAGTCGTGGCCGAGCACAGCCAACCCGCACTGCAAGGATGAGCAGCCTCCTCCTCTTCCGAGGGCACCCCTCCGTCCCGGCCTCCGCGGTCCATCCCTGGGCACCTGCGCGGGCGCCGCGCCCCGCTCGAGCAGCTTCGAGATGGCCCTCCGAGGCCCTTGCAGCCTCAATCGTGCATCCGTACTGATGCGGGTCGACTGCAGCAAGCAGGTCGACCCTGCACATCGAGGGCACCCTCGTGTCCTGTGCTTGGCGACCCATGCCCCGCCACATCCCTGTCGCAACGTGGCCCCCCTCGGAAGGCTCCTGTGTTCTCATCGCCCTCCCGGTGCTTCGCCTCCGGGTTCTTGTTCAAGGCGTACCTTTGCATGCCCTTCGCCTTCGGTACCGCCTGATCCCGGGGGTTTGCCCTCTCTTAGCCTTGACGTGAGGCCCCTCTTTCTGTTTTCCTCCCTCGACCGGAAGAGGCTCGCTCTCGACCCGCGGATCAAAAAAGTGTTCTCATCGCCTGTCCCCTCCAGCGGACCTCGACCGTGCTGGCCGTGCCTTGTCGGGGGAGGCCGGGCCGCTCCTGGCCAGAGCCCGCGCACTCGCTGCACCCCGGGGCCCCGGCCGCGATGCAGCTGCGCCTGTCTCGGCAGCGGCTGCTGGAGTCAGCATCGTTTGACCGACACCCCTTTGAGGAGGGAGCAAGAATCACACAGACACAAGGGAGTGTCGATTCCCAGGGAAAGATGGGAAGTGGGGGGGAGACAGAAACCCAGAAAATGCGTGAACGTGTGGGAGATCCTGGGATTTGTGTGTACTTGTTTGCGTGTTTGTGGGCCCCTTTCACCCCTGCCCCCACCCCCATCCCCGTCCCGAGCCCGGCGATCTCAGCACCCCAGTTGCGGATGCACCCCTGGAGACCCGAAGGGCGCGGCCCAGTATCCCCATCCTGGCGGGCAACTTGGCCAGCGGGGCCAGGGCCATGCCGAGTGGGGGTGTAGGGGTCGGGGGCATGCTGCCCGTGGGGCGCGCCGCGTAGTGCCTCGGGCTTCGCTCGGGCGTGTGCTCCTCTTCCCCGGCGAGGGCCACCGGGGAGCCGCCTGCACCACCGGGCAGACAAGAGCACGCACGGAAGCGAGGAGTGCACAGGGGCTGGGCGGCCGGGCGGCGGCCGGCGGCAGGCTCGCGTCGTGTCGACTGGCGGTGGCCTCTCCGCGGGCCGGCGCTCAGCGTTGAACGCCGCCGGCGACCCAGAATATATATATATATATATACACACTATGTATGTATATATATATAGATGCAATACCCTCCCTTTATATACATATAGATGTCGCGTCTTTTTCTCCCCTGTCAAGCAGTGGCGGAGCGTCTGTATATATATATATATATATATATATATATATGTATGCAAGACCCTCCATATATATAGAGAGAGAGAGAGAGATGCTGCGTCTTTTTTTCCCCTGTCAAGCAGTGGCGGAGCGTCCGGGCTCGCCTATAGCCCTACCAAGCAATGTTCTAAGAACCTTCTGTGGTTTCCACGAGATGTTCTTAGAGCATTTCTGGTCGAGGTTGTCCTGTTTTAACACATCGGGCGTATGTTCTAAGAACCTTGCTTTTGTTCTTAGAACATTTTGGGGTTCTAAGAACAGCTCGTGGTAGGACTATAGCAATGCCGGGACGGTCGGCCCCTGCTCAAAGTATATTGCGCCTTTTTTCTCCCCTGGGCGCTCCAGTCGGCAGGCTGTAGCTGCGAGACGGCGTTGTCCTCGTCCCTGCTCCAGCCTCCTCGGATCGGAGCCCACCGCCGAGACAGACGACGACAGAGCCGGCTCGTCGGGGCAGGCGCTGAGAGAGCGGTCCGCCAGGAGGCGGCTGATGCCAGAAGGGGCTCACCCTGCCTCGGACTGTTATTGGAGAAGGTGCCGAAGCATGCGCACTCAGCGTCGGGAGGCGCGCCGAGAGTTGTGCTGGGCGCAGTGCAACTTTTCGACACAGCAGTGACGCACCAGAGCGAGCATGTCTCTGGCTGCTTGGCTCAAGAGAATCTCCTGCTCCCCTCCCCCGAATTTTTTGGTGACTCGTGGGGGGCGGAGGTATGGCGCGGGTCCTGATGCTGGTGGCACTGCCGATGCTGCAGCACAACCGGGCGCAGGCGTGCACGATGATCGCGGTCGGGAAGGACGCCAGCGCCTCTGGCGCGGTGATGGTGGGCCACAGCGAAGACTCGGGCCCCATCTCTGCGACTACAAAGGGTGTGATTACGCCAGGGCCAGGGTGTGGCCTGCGATCTGCGTCTTTGGGGCTTGGGGGGGCACCACGTTGCCCTCGTCGGCCTCCTCGGGGCGCGGCGAAAAACTCTGTCGAAGCCCCCGCCATCCCCTTGGCAAGCCCACTCGGGTGCGGGTTGCAGGCCACACCCCTTGGCAAGACACACCCCTCGGAGTGGCCGACCACCTCGAAGAACCCAAAAGCTGCACGAGCACAGGAGCTCCAGGCGTGCGCGGGACTTCCTGGGGCGGAGCGGGACCTCCCCCGGCGGCGCTCCCAGGGCGCGCTCCTGGCGCGCTCCCTGCGCTGGGGGAGGGGGGCCCAGCGCCGGCGCAGGACAGCCGCGCGGACCTCCAGATCGGGGGAGGGAGGAGCGACGCCACCACCTCCCGGGGGGGCACCTCCACCGAGGAGGTGGACGATGCCACGATGCCTCCCCGAGCTGGGGATATAGGGGATGTCTCGAGCGAGAGTGGGGTGGGGTGGACCACACCACAATGGGCTCCTCCCCTGGCTGGCTCCTCACGCTGGTGGTCCCTGGTGGTAGTGGTGTCGCTCCCCGCTCCTGCCCGAAGAGTTCTGCCCGTGCACTTTTTCCTTCTTCTGCCCATGACCAACGACATCCGCTTCACCCGCGTGCCCCGCAAGAGGTGGCCCGAAGGCAGCATGCGGCCCCTGTACCACTTCGCGCTGGGCTACCCGCGCGTCGTCGCGGCGGAGAGGTCTCCCGAGTATGCCCCGGTGGCGGGGCAGCTGCCCTCGCGGGTGCTCGGGTACATCCCGCAGGTGCCTCAGACGTACGGCTACTGGGACACGACCTACGGGGTCCAGAACGAGGCTCAGAGCCTTCCGTTTGAGTCGGGCCTGTCCCTCCACAGGAGGAATATTCAAACATAGTCTGAAAATCAGTTAGGGACGATGTTCCGATTTTTTTTGAATATGTTTGATTTTCTTTTCATAATCCGCCTGTAGGGGGACATGGCCGACCTAACCTTACGTGACCAGTGCAGGGCGTTGTCGGGGATAGCTTCTGATTCTCGCCTCCCGTTTGTGTGTGTGTGTGTGTCAGTCTTCTCCCGAGTGGCACTCGCCCCCAGTAGCATGCCAGATACGACGACGACGACGCAAACGTCGGCGACGACGACGACGCGGACGTCGCCGACGACGTCGCGGACGTCGGCGACGACGTCGATGTCGGCGCCGACGCAGATGTCGGCGACGAAGCTTACGTCGACGACGACGACGCGAAGACGACGCAAACGTGCCCAGATCAGATCAGCTTTTGCTGGATGAATGCCCTGTCCTGCATCCTGTCACGTGGAAGTTGTTCCCGGATCATCGGTGGTGGTTTTCGCATGGATGGCGAGAGTCAGGACCGTACCCAGACCTGGCGTATATTGGTTCATTTGGTTGCCTTAGAGGTGGGGCTCTCCATCGGTGAGAGTACTTGCACAGCCAACACTGTTGGCTGGGCGTCGGACGTTCCTCACGGCTACAACAAGGCGGGCATCGAGGAACTTTCCAAGATAGCCATGGAGCGGTGCGAGACGGCGCGCTCGGTGATAATTCCGCGGAGGTTACACTCAGCATCGCCGCTGCTGTATACGTGGTCGAAAATCCAGCCTAATTTTGTTTCCCCCGCTCAATCGAGTCTACTCGCGATGAAGTTCGCGGCCTCTGGCTTAATCCTTGGCTTCATTCGGCCCGTCTGGTTCAGCACCTTCTCAGTGTTCATTCCAGTGGGAGCCCATGCCAAGAAACACTCTGCTTGCCTCCAGCGTATCCTGGGTTTCTTGGGTTCCGATGTTTTTGCTGTGGAAAAGCGTGACGCTTTCGCAGCAAACATCAGTGGACGCCTTGGGGTCTCAGGCCCAGACGCTTCGCGCATCCCCACCGGCCCGTCCAGAAAGGAGTCCCAGGGGAGTGGAGGTTCTGAGGGACGCGGGGGAGCATGCAGAAGAGCAAAGGGCGGCGTGAGCCGCCATCTACCCCCAAGAGGGGGAGGATGTAGGAGGAGCCGTCGTCGTCGGAGTAGGAGGAGGAAGAGGAGGAGCAGGAGGAGGAGCAGGAGCAGGAGGGGGAGGAGGAGGAGGAGGAAGTTGAGGAGGAGGAGGAGGAGGAGATGGAGGACAGCGAGGACGAGGAGGACGAGAAGGAGGAAAAGGAGGAGGAGGAGGAGGAGGAGGAGGAGGAGGAGGAGGAGGAGGAGGAGGAGGAGGAGGGGGAGGGGGAAGAGGGAGGAGGAAGAAAAAGAGGAGGAGGAGGACAATGGCGAGCTTGGCGGCCTCTGGGGCCGTCTTTGGGGCCTCGTGGCGGTCCCAGGGGCCTCTTGCGTACATCGGGGAGCCTCTTGTGGCCTCTTGGGGGTCTCTTGGGGGCTTCTTGGAGGCATCTTGGGGGCCTCTTGGGGCCTCTTGGGGACCTCTTGGGGCGCTTTTGGGGAGCTCTTGGGAGCCTTCGGGGCGCTCTTGGGGCCATCTTGGAGGATCTATCAAAGAAGGGGGGGTCGTATATTAGCCTTGCCCCTCTAGAGTGCCTCGAATCGCCTCTGAGGCACTTCTTGAGGCCAACATCCTTCCAAAACCTAAAGAACATGTTTTGTGCTTTTTCGCTTTTTCGCTCTTGGAGCCGTCTTGGGCCATCTTGGGAGCCTCTTGGGGCCTCTTGGGGGTCTCCTGGGAGCTTCTTGGGGGTCTCCTGGGAGCTTCTTGAAGGCCTCTTCGGGGGGTCTCTTGAGGCGCTCTTGGGGCGCTCTTGGGAGCCTTCGGGGCGCTCTTGGGGCCATGTTGGAGGAGATCTATCAAAGAAGGGGGGGTCGTATATTAGCCTTGCCCCTCTAGAGTGCCTCGAATCGCCTCTTGGGCCCCCCCAAGAGGCCAAAATCCTTCCAAAACCTAGGGAACGTCAGTGTTTTGTGCTTTTTCGCTTTTTCGCTCTTGGAGCCGTCTTGGGCCATCTTGGGAGCCTCTTGGGGCCTCTTGGGGGTCTCCTGGGAGCTTCTTGAAGGCCTCTTGGGGGCCTCTTGGGGCCTCTTGGGGCCCTCTTGAGGCGCTCTTGAGGCGCTCTTGGGAGCCTTCGGGGCGCTCTTGGGGCCATGCTGGAGGAGATCAATCAAAGAAGGGGGGGTCGTGTATCAGCCTTGCCCCTCTAGAGTGCATCGAATCGCCTCGTGGGCCCCCCCAAGAGGCCAAAATCCTTCCAAAACCGAAGGAAAGTCAATGTTTTGTGCTTTTTCGCTTTTTCGCTCTTGGAGCCGTCTTGGGCCATCTTGGACGTCCCAACGACCCGCGGAACCCTTCGTCCAGGTCGGTGGGGAGGGGTAAGGGGAGGGGTAAACCCCTCCCCGAAGGGAAAGAAGGGGGTTGGCAGAGGAAACGCTCTAGACCACCTACGCCCTAAAGGGCTGGTGGGATTTCTTGTGGAAGGTTTCTCGTGGTCGAGCCCCTACTGTCATCGTCCCCACGAAGATTCTCCAAGAGCTGCCCTCCCTCAGGCGCGATGCGCGGTGGAGATCATGGGCAAGATTGCGGTGGAAGAAGGGCTCTTCCTCCGGGACAAACATTGACCAAGTCCCACTCGGAGGGAGGAGATGCCATCCCACCACCACCACCCCTCGGAGTGGCCGACCACCTCGAAGAACCCAAAAGCTGCACGAGCACAGGAGCTCCAGGCGTGCGCGGGACTTCTTGGGGCGGAGCGGGACCTCCCCCGGCGGCGCTCCCAGGGCGCGCTCCTGGCGCGCTCCCTGCGCCGGGGGAGGGGGGCCCAGCGCCGGCGCAGGACAGCCGCGCGGACCTCCAGATCGGGGGAGGGAGGAGCGACGCCACCACCTCCTGGGGGGGCACCTCCACCGAGGAGGTGGACGATGCCACGATGCCTCCCCGAGCTGTGGATACGGGACGTCTCGAGCGAAAGTGGGGTGGGGTGGACCATAGCACCACCAGGGGGGGCACCTCCACCGAGGAGGTTCACGAGAGCACGCCCCGAGCTGGGGGTGTTCGACGATGCCTCGAGAGCCCGGCGCCCCTGGCGCCGGTGGTGGGGGCGTCGCCTTTCCTTGCTCCTGCCCGCTGTGCGCGCTGACTTTCCCCAAAGTTAAGTCAGCACCATGGTTATGTCGGGCATGCCCCCCTACAGGAGCCTCTACAGGAAGGGTGTTCAAAAATAGCTGCCCACAGTAGTATGGGACGATTTTAGATTTTGTTGTTGCTGCTGCTGCTGCTGCTGCTGTTGTTGTTGTTGTTGTTGTTGTTGTTGTTTTTTTTGTTGTTGAACATTATTAATTCTAAAGAATAATTATTGTTGGGGCCCCTGGTGCGCGCCCCCCCCGCCGCGCCTAGGCCGCAGCCACATTTTCATCATTTTCGTGAGGAAGTCTCAGGCAAAACGGGGTATACCAGATCCGGTTGTGTTGTTACGATCGGTTTTCCCTTGCAAAAAATAAGGCAAAGTGGACATTTCTTGTTCTAACATGACCAAACTTCAAGAATCCCTTGCAAAAAATGACACGAAGTGCACATTCGCGCGCGCAAGACGAAATCCTTCCAAAACCTTAGTCTTCGTAGCGATTTTCACATAAAAACATGAAAAACCCAATGGTTTTTCAAAAAAAGGGTTTCAAAAATTCACCCCGCGCGCTCTTGCGGATTTCTTAGGAAACCCAATACTTTTTCAACATTTCTGTCAAACGGGCTCTTGCGAGCAACTTTTTCACGTGCTTCGAACTTCTGCAACAAAGGTTGCGCGCCTGCCAGGGCCATCATCCCTGTCAAATAATACCATGTGGGACACATTCGTTTTTTCTTCGCGCGCGCACGCCGAAATCTTCAAAAATCATTGGGTTTCTTAGGAATTTTAGCACCGCGCAACATAAAATCATACGAATCGCACCGTAGGTTCTCGAAAAACATCTGTACGAATTTTCAAAATTTCTACCCGCGCGCGCTGTCCGAATCCTTAAAAACCAATGGTTTTTCAACATTTATGTTATAGAGCTCGCGCGAGCTGTTTTCGCAAGCTCTTTCAACGGCGTTCGCGCGCCTGCCAGGGGCCACAATCCCTTGCAAAAATATCATGCGGGACACATGCGCGCGTCGTCGCGTCGTCGTTGTCGGCATGGTACCACAACAAGTCAGTGTGTCACCACGTCATCGAACAAAATCACTGATCACTGTCACATCCGTAGCCATCTCGGATCAAGGTATCGCCTGTGTTCTTGGATGGGTCATGGCTTTGTCGGCGAAAGCCCTTGACGAGCAGTATGGCCCAGAGCTGTCGCGGCCTCCCTTGGCCGACTGCGGCAGCCCGTTTTATTTGCATCAGGCGCTCGTTGCAAAGGGTATCCAGGTCAGTCACCAGGCGTGCAAGGTTTGGTGGGTCAGGTATCTGGTTGTGCCTGGCAAGGTCAGTATTTCTAGCGCCAAGGAGCTGGAGGAGCAGCACGGCTCTGCCATCCGCCATCTGGGCATCGAGTATAATACAGCTTTCAAATTATGTGGGGCGCTCCGACGGTTGGATCCACCACTGTATGTGTCAAATCCGGTCGCAACGGCGTGGCTACTGCAGTATTCTTCCAAAGAGACGCTTGTCTTAGTGCAGAACGCTGGCCATGTGGAGACCTGGTATGGAGAACGTATTCGCACAGACATGCCCGAGGGGACTACTGACGGGGCCGTCTTGAAGCAGTGGCTCCTGGGACATTTATCTGTATCTGCTGACGCCAGGGTATGCCAGAAGTGGCTCAGCACTGAGTGGGGCGCCAAGGGAGCATTCAATACTGCCCAAGCTGTGGAGGAATGTATAGGCCAGCGTCTTCGACTCAATCAGTATCGGGAGAGCTTCGCCGACGAGGCCGCCGCGGAGGTCCTCTCGCAGCTTCTCTCGGAGAGCGATCCTCCCGTCGCTGTCAGCGGTATGGTTTTGAGGCAATGGTGCGTGAAGTATCACCCTGACTCTGGACCTTTGCAGTATGACACGGCTGAAAAGCTCGACGCGGCACTTGGTGACCACGTGCGCGCGGTATATCCAGGGCTGAAGTACCACGCGTTGCATGCCTCGTTGCGTATGCGACGGAAAGCTGTCTTGGTGTCCCGAGGAGTGTTGAGACAGTGGTGCGATGTGTATGCGTCGGTGAGCTCCTCAGTGCAGGCGGCGGCTTCATCCGCCCAGGCCGTCGCCGAGCGTGTATTGAAGCGCCCGGCGGCACAGGTCGCAGGCGGGGTATTGAAACGGCCAGCCGCCGCCGGATCTGTCCGCGTGGGCAAACGGCCTGCCGCGGTCGACTGGGAGGGGCCCGTATCGAAGCAGCAGGCCACGGCAGCTTCTTCCTCCACAGATGTGGTTTGTATAAAGCTGCTGACGGGGGATGCTGTAGAGGCGGCGTGCGGCAAGCGGTATCGAGAGCAGGTCTCCGACTTGGGCCTTGGCCTCACTTACCAGAATATGCAGGTGCGTCTGAAGGCCTGGGGGTATGAGGCGGGCAAGTATGCCTTGCGAGAGTGGCTCGGCAAGTATCGACTCGGAGACGGTGCCAAACATGGCAATTGCGCCGTCTACGCGTTGTCGCGCAGGGACCTCCAGTACTGGCATCACGTAGAAGGCTTGAGGGGGCGAGCGCTGGTGGACAAGTATCGCGCGGAGACCGGGGTATTTGCCAATTTGTTGTCCCTGGAGAAGTGGCTGAAGGCGCCCTCCCAGCAGCTGGCAATACTGGAGAATGCTGAGGAGATACGCAGCCACGTATGCGGGGAGTATGTCCTGGAGCAGCTGCAGAAGGGTGTCTCGGCCGAGGAGGTGAAACAACAGTTACTGGCGCAGTGTCTCGTGGATTGCAGGGCCGCGCAGCGGCTCGTAGCGTATCGTCGCCATCGCGAGCAACGTGGCGAATACTGGACCAGCGAGCACCTAGAGCAACAGGAGTGGGAGTTCTTGCATTCCTTGGTTTCTCTGGATAGCAAGCTCGGCCACACCCGGGCGGTTGGCTGTCGCGCCCGGGCTAGACCTGGTTTGGAGGCTGTGCGTGTATCTTTATGTCAGCGCTTGGGCGTGGCGGAAGAGTTGGCGCCTTTGCAGAATCTATCGGTATTTTTTGGTGACCACGAACGGCATGCCAAGTTGGCACTCGAGTATCCAGGTGCCTTCGTATACAAGGATGCGCTGCCGGGTCCTGTGGTGGAGGCCTACGAGAGGACCTTCCTGGGCCAGGTGCTGCCGAGGACTGCACGCGCGTGTATCTCCGACAAAGAGCAAGGCTGGTATGCGAGAGCTTGCAGCGTGGCGACAGCTGACGGTTGCATAGTATTCCCGAAAATGGCGGCGGACGCTTGTCTTATTGCTGCGTATGCCATGTTAAAGTACCAGGAGGTATTTCAGCGACAGTCTTGGTCCATGTCATTACTCACCAGTATCCAAGCCACCTACAAGAAGCAGTATAATCTGACAGATTTTGCGTTTTGGGTGTGCTACGGGAGTCGGTCCGCTTGCGAGGCCTGCGGTTCGTTCTTCTTCAATGACGAGTATTTCTCGAACCGTGTATATCAGGATCGTAGCACGTCGGAACAACCAGACATGCTGGCGGCGTATCGTCGGCAAGTGCCGCAGGACCCGGTGGTGCACGCCTGTGGCCAAGTTGGTATATCTTCGAGATGGTGGTATAAGCCAGGCATGTACACGCCTGTGGTTGCCAGCTGCCCTTGCTGTTCTGGTAAAGAGAGTCCCCTCGAGAAGTTCAACCGCCGTGTGCAGAACCATGGGCAGGCCCTCAAGGTTACAAAGACGTCGGAGCTGTATAGGATCCCCTTGGCGACGAAGTCGGGCTACGAGGCAAAGGAGTGTATCACCTGGCCTCGATATTCGTTTCGGCAGTTTTCGCTGGGCCACAGCGCTGGACCCTGTATGCACGAGATGACCCTCGACGAATGTCGTGCTCTGAGCATCGTCGTCTTGAGGACCTCCGTACAGCAAGAGAGGTATGGCGCTGCGCACCAGTTCAACTGGAAGAAGGTGGGCCTCTCGCGCGCGTACTTCAAGAAGGACCTGGTCTGCGAAGCGAGTATGCCTACCGATCGGTGCAAGGCTGCATTTCATTTTTTGATGGAGCACAACAAGTATTACCGCAGCTTTCTGACGGAACAGAGGATCCGCGCGAGCAGGGGCGCCGCGGTCGCCCCCGACCCGCCCCTCCCCAAAGAAAACAAAAATGCAAAAACAAAAAAAAACAAGCCAGCAACAAAAACCACAACAACACAATCAACAGCTATTCATTTTCTGGGGGCGCATAACAGGTATTACAGTAGCTTTTTGACTCCCGCAGGATCCGTATCGAGAACCGCAGCTCCTTAAATCTGTCCTCCTACGACCTCTTTGTTGTCATGAAAGGTATCGAGTGTGCCATGTGTCCCGTCTTGTATCCGACTACGGACTTCACTGATACGGGTATAATGGAGCACTACTATGCCCAGACCCAGGATAGCACGAATCGTGTGGTATCCATCGGCCTGTCTTGGACTCGGAAGGTGCTGTCCAGTGCCCGCGTATATGGC